CACACCCACACCCACACCCACACCCGTTTTAATGTGGTGGGATTTGTCCAAGGCTGTTAAACGCGCTTTTTAGGGATCTTGTTCGACTAGGGGTCTGAATATGGCATATTCAACTTACGAGGAAAGGATACCAACTGTCCAATCGCTTTTAAGTTGGAACTATGTGTGTCATGTAGACCCTAATGAGATATGAAAAACTCCAAAATCATAAGGGCCCTTAGGTCTTATATCTAGAGTTACAGATATTTTACTGGAATTTTAGCCTCTGGCATAGTATATACCAATAAATCGAATGACGGTATTTCGACCTGAAATTTTTGCCCATAGACAGGTCTATTTATGAGTAGAATGCCCTGAAAATTTCATCTCAAAACAATGCTTTGTTTCTGAGATATTAAAGTCCCAAAAAACAATCATGTCCCACGACAGCTGCTAGAATTTTCTTTTTTTTGGGACTTTAATTTCTCAGAAAGAAAACATTTCTTTGAGCTGAAATTTTCAGGGCACTCTATTCATAAATAGACGTGTCTATGGGCAAAATTTTAGGACGAAGTACCGTCATTCGATTTGTTGGCATATACTATGTCAGAGGATAAAATTCCAGTAAATTATCTATAACTCTAGACATGAGACCTAAGGGTCTTTATCCTTTTGGAGTTTTTCATACCTCATTGTGGTCTACATGACACATATAGTTCCGACTTCGAAGCGATTGGACAGTTGGTGTCCCTTCGTCGTTAGCCCGTAATAACCTGTTCCACAAGGACATGTGAATGAATAAGGCTTCTATTTCGAATAGGAAAAAGCGTTCTTCAGAAAACGTCAGCGTTCTATATATATTACGAAATCATTCTATCAAGCAATAACAGCCGGTAAAGACTGAACGAAACTGGAGCTCACCGTGCCGACCACGGATTGGAGTTGATGAATGTTTTTCAAGAAAACGTGACGGTGTTTGTCCTTTAGTGTATGTTGGAAGAGAGAAATAAAAACCAATCACTTCAAAAAACGAAACAAACTTTCCTGCAATAGACAACTAACAAAAATCAGTTTGTGAAAAAGAAATGAAAGCAAGAATTGAAACTGCGGAATGGAATAGAAAGTAAACAGTGAATGAGTGTTGGCGCTGATGCATGCGCAGCACTTTTTGTCCGACTTGATCAAAAGTGAAAGGACGTTGCATTTCATTTTAATTCATTTGAGCAAACAAAAACGAAAAGAAGCTGGCTTCCGACGTGACTGAGGGTGTGGGTGGGTGTGGGTGTGGTGTGGGTGTGAGGGTGTGGATTTGGGTATGGGTGTGGATGTGCATGTGGGTGTGGGTGTGGGTGTGGGTGTGGGTATGGATGTGGGGTATGAGTATGGAGTGTGGGTGTAGGTGTGGATGTGGATATGGCTGGAAGAAGAAATCACTTACACCCACACCCACACCCACACCCACACCCCACACCCACACCCACACCCACACCCCCCACCCCCACCCACACCCACACCCACACACCAACACCTACACCCACCCACCCACACGCACACCCACACGCACACCCACACCCACACCCACACCCACACCCCGACCATTTTATCTATCTCATATCATCCGACGGGAAGTTTCAATGCATTTGCTTCTCTCAGTACCAAATATAGAAAGAAGAGAATAAAAGCTGTGATATCTAAATAACGACGAATTCAATATTACAAAAAGAAAGTAAATAAATATGCATAAACGTGATATGAAAGAGAGAAAAAAATGTTCCATTAGGATATTCTTCGAAAGGAAGAGAAAGAAAGCATAAGAAAAGAACCAGTTCATACATCATCGATTTAGAAAGAAAGCATCGCAGAATTAAATCTTTATCTTTTTTTCAGATGCGCCTGAAGATAAGAAAAGACAAGGAAATCAGCAAGTAATGATTCAAGAGTCTCTTTGCGATGAAAAAAAAATCTGAATATATCCGACATGTTTTTATCAAATAGATTGTTTTTTTAGCAATGATAACAGTGTTGATAGGTCATACTCATAAGAAGAACATTGATAAATACTGCTTCAAAGTATCATTGTTGACTTCAATGAAGAACTGTAATCTTTCAAAAATTATAGAAAAGTTATATTGCAATTCTCGTAACAAATTCTTACTCTTTATAGCTGAAAATTTCAGAAAGCGGTAACAAGAAGTATATCTGCAATATAAAACTCACATCAAACAACAATTTTGTGAAAAATCAATAGAAAAAAATATGTATAGCTTACTTTTGACTAAAGAAATCATTACATTACTTTTTCATAAGTTGTGAATGACGACAATTCTTTGTTGAAGTTAACGGTAATATTTCAAAGTAGTGTTGGTTAAAATTAACTGATTTGGTCAAACCATGATAGAGATTTTCAATTTCTTCGGTAAAGTAACTTTTGAACTATGTATGTCTTTTTTTTTGAAACTTTCGTCTATGAATTGAATTCAATTAGAAAATCTATTTCTGGATATGTGAATTCATTTCAACTCAAAGAAACTTCGGATGTTGTTGTTGTAAGATCAATTCACACAATAAAACCATGAAAAGATCAACTTACGACTACAGTTTATTTGGTGATTTCTTTCGAAGACTTTCATCTCGAGATATCTAAATCACAATCGCATTATTATAATATATTTCTGTTGCATTTGCATCAACATATTGCTATTTTCTTTTCCTTTTTTGATCAGTGTATATGATTTATGCAACTATGTTCTCAATATACCAATGTACTTTCCTCTTCATTCAGCTCATAGATAGAATGTTCGTTTCTCTTTATTTAATAGGACAACATTATGCATAACATTTATTTGAGTGAATTGATATAGACTCTCATTTAAATGCTAAGTAATTTTAAATAACAATAAAATAAAAAATACTGCGGATGAACATGTGTATTATCTTCTTGTCTCACACCCACACCCCTATATCATCATGTATCAGGTTCGTTCCGCTGTAACCAAGATCTTTTCATTGATACAAAAATGTGTTTACATGTAAAAATATAGTGCAAAATAGTCACATGAAAATTGAAACTGATTGCGAATATTATATATGATTAACCGAAGAAAATGAAAAATTTCATGCTACATAGAATAAACAAGACTAAAATATTTGATATAATCCTAAATATTTCAATAAATTATACTAAAACTTTTAGATTCAAATGAACAAATCTGTACAGATCAATGTTATGTATGTTACCTTCTATTCTCATGAGGCAATGCATCTAAGCGACGCCGCAACGTTGTGCAATGAATATCACCGATTTGGCTGCTGTTTTTATAGTAAATAGATCTAACACAGTTAAGAAGAAATTCAAAATTTCATTTCAGATAAATACAGCATTCTGGAGATAGAAACGTTGTAAATATGAGCAAGTAAGTTATATTTCGAACACTTTTCAAAGTAAAGATTTTCAGAAAATATGTTCACATCGATAAAACAAGTTAGTCGGTTTAGTGAGATGGATTTACTCGAGAACAGTCTTATTTGAAAGAGCACATCAAAATTCATTGAATTATATTCTCAAAATTTTGTGATATTTAATTTTAGTAAGGAAAATGTTTTTTATAATATCTTGCATTTTTATGAAAAAACTTTCTCTAGTAAGAAAGAAATTGCATTGGATATTGTTTTATATATTGTTAGTATAAATTTCCATTTTTAGAAAATGAATTATATATTTTGATAGCGCGTGAAATTCTGCATCTTTTAATATATAATTCTAAAACGAAAAAAAGACGTGCATGGATATTCAGTAGGAACCACAGTTAATGCACTATATGATAAAACTCTTCAAATTTTATTTGTATTTCGAATTTTTAATCATTAAAGCACAATCTGTGAGCAAAATAAACAATATATTTGGAATCAGTGTAGAAAACTGCATCGACTCACATGTTTTTGAAAGAGAATAAGCTGAGTGGGTCACAGGTCGATCTTTCGTAAAAAAATTGTTTTCGCTTAAAATATAAAATCTAATGTGGCTTTTTTTGCATTGACTCCGAATCTGTTGTTTATTTAACTGCCATATCGATTAATAACAATAAAACCTAATAGATATGAACAGACTTTTGATAGTTTTGTCTCATAGTGCAAGAAATGTAATTGCAACTCGGTACCTATTCATGTCTTTTGCCTTCTGTAAAACAAAAAAAATAAAAATATGCAGAATTTTACACTCTGTCAGAATGTAGAACACTTTTTCTATAAAACTTAATATCTTTAACTGAAACGATTTCAGTTATTAAATGAAAAAAGAACACAACGTGGAATTCTAGAAATTTGATTTTAAAGCTATCTTTATGTACTAGAAATTTTTCTTAGCGAATAATCGTAATTCAAAATTTTTTATATAAAAGATTGTAGAGAAATCTATGGAGTATTAGAATATAGAGTTACTTTCCTAAAAGTAAGAATTTATACTAATGATATATTAAAAAACATCGAGCACAATCATTTGTTCTAGGCAAAGATTTTTCACAATTTTGAGTGCATAACTAAATACATTTTGATGTGGTCTATTAAATGAGATTATTCTCGAGTAAATCCATCTCGCTAATCCGACTAACTTATCTTATGTTAGTGAGCATGTTTCCTGAAAATGGTAGATGATGCCAGGCAATAATTATTCAGAGATGAGAAACTTTTTATTACCATCGAAAGATAGCTCATAGTCAATAGCATTTATGGTAAAAAAAATCTCAACTCAAACTCTAATGTTTTTTTAGAAAATGAATACTTACTGGAAACCTTTACTGTGGAAGACATTCGAAATATAGCCTAGCCGCTCATACTTACAGCGCCTATATCTCCAGAATACTTTATTTGCTTGAACTGAAATTTTCAATTTCTTCTTAACTTTGTTAGATCTACTTATTGTAAAAATATCGGTCAAATCGATGACATTGATTGTGCAACATCGGGCGTGGCTTAAGCGTAATGCCTCTTATGGAAAAGACTGCAAAATTATTAATCAAAATTTACATTTAGATGCTAAACTTGAATTATATTTGCATTATTCGTTAAAACATTTTTCAGAAAAACTCACATCATAAAACATATTTCTATGAAACTAATATCACCAATTATAGTATCATCTGAAGAATAATATTTTGTTTCATTTATACATATATAGATAAAGAATTATTTAAGAGTAAAAAACTACAAAAATAAAACTCAATAGAGAAAAAATCGTATAAAGTTTTTAAAATGTCATAATATTGAATTTATAGTTAGTTTAATACGTATTTTACTTTTTATTCTCAACAAGCGCTCAAAGTAATTTTTGAGTAGAAACATGACTGATGCTCATATGCACGATAACAAGCATATTATCTGTTCAATTTAAGAATAAAAATATAATAGCAAGTTAATAACTCGACAAATAATACATTAAAGAAAAAAAATGCATTACCATCTGAACCATACAGATTAAAATAATTTAATTTTATCACAAAGAGTAACGGTTCAGATGACTTACGAAAATAAATTAACAAAACCAAGAAAGAAAGTAAATATAAATACATGGTTGTTTAATTTAAGTGAATATAGGTCGAGTCATATAATAAAACGACATATTTGTCTGTTTAGATGCATATGTGTCTCAAAAAAACAAGACACATTTCCTGTATTGTACACATCTTATTTTAGGTCTCATCAAAGCAGACAGAATTTTGGAAGAACGTATGTTTAAACATAAAAAAGAGAACTGCGATTGTGAACAATTCATCCTATTTATTAAAACATCAGAAACGCCATTTTTGGCACCAAATTATCGCTTTTAAAGTGTTAAAAAGGTAAAAATCACGATTTCTTTTTATACGTTTAAATACGTTTTACCAACTCTTTGTCTACTTGGAGAATCACACTGAATAAGTGACTTAACCTAAAGCTGAATTAAGTAATGTGATTAGCGCATTATGAGTTAGGTCGTCTTTTGAAGGTGATTTAACTCATACTGCACTTATCATATAACTTCATTCAACTTTAGTGTTAATTCATTTTTTGGCGTAATTGGGGCCTAAGACACATACCGTTGTTTTTGTTTATAATGCTTCCATCGTTCGTAACATGTTTATGTGCTTGTTTGATATTGGGTGTGGGTGTGGGTTTGGAAAAGGAAGGCTCACGCCCACATGCACACCCATACACCCACAGCCACACCCACCCACACCCACACCCCTAGTCCATTGCAGACGTTTTGGTTCTATTTTTGATGATGTTGAACAATTTGCAACAACGATCTCAGTTGATACATTATGGAATTGTGATAATGCAAAAGCAACTTTTTTTCCTTGTACACCTAATGGATCTTGATTAACAGCAATTACTTCAGGATTAGTTAGAGTAGATAAAGTAGCTGCACTCATATTAGTTACATCACATCCGATAAGTAAAGGTGCTTTACTAATAGCCCAAAGAGCAAAGTGTGTAACATATTCAGCATCAGTCATACCACCATTTCCAATTTCAAGCACTAGATAAATATAAAACGTATGATATTAATTATAGCATATAAAATCTTTACTTACTATCAGGATCATTCCATCCGCCAGGTCCAGCTTTATCAGCAAAGTTATTGTTCTAAAAATGGAAAAAATATTCTAATGTAAAACGGTCAATATTATATTACAAAATCAATATTAAACATCATATAATCCCAATTATCTCGAATATCACCTGTTGTTCGCCAACTATTTCCAACATTAGCTGTCCATAAGGCAGGTGTATCAACACTCCATACTATACATATGATATGAGATAATAAATAGAAATGAATTTCTCAATAATGAACATACCACATATAGAAAAGAAGATAGGTCGTCCACTAACATTTAAAGCATCTCGCATGTCTGGATATCGAACTTCAGGAATAGTTCCATCTGTATTACAGTTGTCATATTTCAAATAATCAACATTCCAAGATGCGTATGTATTAGCATCTATTGTTTCATAATCAAGTGAACCAGGTCGTTTAGCACATGTCATAAATCCAGCATCTAACATATTTAGTAATAAATCATATTCACTTAACGAATATATGTAATTATCGTACCTGAATAAAGATCAAATTTAAGTTTTCTTGAATGAACATAATCAGCAAGAGCTGATATTCCACTTGGAAAAGCTTGAGGATCAGGATGAATAATACCTTGACTATCTCGAGTCAATTGCCAACAATCATCCAGATTCACTATAGAAAATGGAAAATATTTTATGTATATAAATAAAAAAAGAACATACCATATTGATATCCAGCAGCTGCAAGACCTGTGGCTACCATAGCATCTACAGCTTGTCGGGCTATTTTTTCACTAATATTATGTTTAAAATGATTCCAACTATTTCATCCTTGAATAAATCAATTATGAAAACAGATGCATAAAATTTTAGTGTCTTACTCATTTGAGGTGTTCTACCCAAACCATTGGTCAAATCATAAGAAATTCCGATGAAAAATATTAAGTATACCAACGTTGAGGATATCATTTTCTATTATTAGTAGAATACAAAAATGAATGTAGCTTGGTTATAGAACATTGTCCTTTTATCTCTTACTTTATTGATAAAGAAATGTGCAGCAAGCACCTTGACTATGTCTACATTACTATCTTGATTTTAGTATACGAGTGGGTGTGGATTTTGGTTTTCTTTTCACCCACATTCACATATTTGTGGTTTTTATATGAGCTCGTCGAAAACATCTTGTAAGACGACAATTAATTATAATTAGCTGTCATTGTACAAGATCGTTTTGACAAGTTCAAATAAAAATTGAAAAATTGTTGTGCAAGTATTTCTCTGCTTTCATGCTTCATTTTATTTGAAAAAAGCAAAAATTGGTCGAAAGGGGTGCGGGTGTGAGTACGTATCTTCAATTCATCCACACCCATATCTACACCCTTAGTCCAACAAATGGAAAACTATTAAGATTTTGTATTTAATGGATGATGCAAAAGTTCCTGGAAAAATTTCACAGGATTTTTGCATCAGTCACAACATGCTTTGAAAAAATAAAAAATACCTATTAAGAGTCGACGTTAAAAACACTTTCTAACTGTATGTTCAAAGAATTTCTATTATGTCTTACCTTTGGCTAATGGCCACATTCTAAAATGTACTCTGTAAAATGCAACCCACAATAATTGCGACAGACGAAACCAATATTTCGGTATTTTTCGAATATCTCCTATGCATTTCATCGTCTATTGTTGCTCTTTTTTTCCAATACATTCATTGTTTAATTCTCTACGGGCTTGGTAGAAAATACTATGGTATTGCTTCAAGATCAATTCCTTCAGCTACACTCATTGTGGATTCCTTTTTATAGCTGTGGTGCATACAGTTAGCTACCACTTTCAATGTAGATCCTGATCAAGTATTTTTTATTTTTTTTAAAACATGTTATTATGTAAATTGATAAATGATATTTAAAGCTTCTTGAATATTTAAATAATTTTCTTTACTATCGAATCCGTAGAAGGATTAATTTCGTATGTGTAACCCATGTAAAAATTTTTGGCGATTTAACGAAGTTTTGTGACGTGAAAATTCGTTAAAAATTTAACGATTTAACGATTAAAAATGTTACAATTTCGATCGTGAAAACGCGTTAAGTATGCAAAAAATTAACGCGTTTTCATGCGTGAAATATTTTAACGCGTGTTTCAGCGTTATTAATAAATTTTTTTAACGCGTTTTCACAGTCAAAATTGTAACATCTTTTTTCGTGAAATCGTCAAATTTTTAATGAACTATCACGCGTTAATTTTTCGAATAACGCGTTACACCGCGTTAAATTCGTTAGTGCACATATACAGTAGTATTTAGAATATTCTAGATTGTTATAAATCACATGTATAATCAGTAGGTTTCAGTCATGAATATTCTGTAAGTTTTATTTATTTGATCAGAAAAATTTGTATCAGCAACTGCACTTGTATATTGTACCCAGTCAACTACATACAAGATTGCAATGATAATTAAAGTACTATATTCTTAGTTCTCTTAAGATTCAGTTTCGAATATTATGTATTTTTTTGTTTAGTAAAAGCTCAAAAAGTTATGAGTTATCACGTTCCATTATAAATCAGAAAGGAATTCGATATCCCTTTTTTTTGAGCTTTTACTAAACAAAAAAATACGTAATATTCGAAACTGAATCTCAAGATAACTAAGAAAGTAGTACTTTAATTATCATTGCAATCTTGTATGTAGTTGACTGCGTACAATATTCGAGTGCAGTTGCTGATATAAATTTTTCTGATCAAATAAATAAAACTTACAGAATATTCATGACTGAAAACTACCGATCATACATGTGATTTATAACAATCTAGAATATTCTAAACACTATTGTATATATGCGCTAATGGCCTTAGTAGAGATGGAAATATCAGAACTTCGAAAATGAGAATGAACTATTTAGAAGACATTTTGAATCACGTTCACTCATATTAGGATTTGCCCTCAAAAATGTAACGTAAATAAAATTAAAAAGATTTACGATACGTTTCTACCTTCAGCGCTACTGATCATGTCTTTATCTATACTCTTAAATTCATATCTCCATATAATTAGCTAGGTTCTGCTCAGAAAAAATTCATCGGGATAAAACACTTAACTACAGATTAGAATGACTAGTCCAGTGAAAAATGTCAGATTATAATCTGACATTTCTCATTGAGTAGTCAGTCCATAAACAGTAAGAATCTACGAAAAACTTAAGTTAATTTTTTGGATTTACTCAACTAATGTCAAAAGTAAGATTATAATAGATAAAAGTATCGAAAATCAGAGAATCACAAAACAATAGCAGGAGAAAATAAGTATACCGAAGAACACTGCTGTCTTTCAAACTCTCTCTCATGATGATCTATTTTCAAGTTTCTTATTCTATATTCTCATGTTTACTACTTTAAGCATCTTCTCTAATTTTATCGTTTGAGATCTTCACTTTTGCATAAAAGTTGACTCCATGTAACTTGCTTAAAAAAAATACTATTCGGCCCCATTTATTCAACTCTCACATTGAGCTTTCTATAATGTATTTACTTGGTGGAGGGAATATGCTATTGAGAAAATTATGCTTACGTTATTTATGGAACAGAATATGTCGTCAATAACTGTAGTGTACATAAAAAGGATCATTATAAGAAACGCAACTCAAGTATTATTGATTGGTGGTCTGTTGAGTCTAAGACCAATTGTACTATGACATGCACACCATTTTAATCGGATAATGCTTTAACAGACTAGTCGCTAATTTTTACTGCTTATAAATATGAATTTGTTCTACGACTAACTCGACATGTCTTGAAAAAAGAACAAGACACTTTTCGAGAGGGCGCCACATATTTATCGAATCTCGTGCTTGATTCAAAGACAGTTACGCTAAACTTCAAATGAATTTCATATTAATAAACAAAGAAAATTATAAGATATTCTGTCAATGAATTGTCTATTAAAAATGGCATGTGCGTCAAAAAGTGCATTTTGTTTTAGACTGATCAAAGGATGAATCGCATATTGTTGCTGAATAATACCATCTACTAGGCTCTCTTAGTTTGATAAAAGGATACATTTTTTTTCATGTAAGAAAAAAAATAGAAATAAAACAATCGAATTTATCGAGGAAAATAAAATAATAGTACTTACCCAGACAAAAAGATATGCTGCCATCTATAATTCTTTACATTTATACCACATCTAATGAATAATACAACAGTACATCTTTTTTCTATTGTACGCTTCTTTGTGTTTCTTTAACTGTGCACGTTACGTAGGTAAAGTTAGCCCCATATTCGAGTTTTTTGTGTCCGGATTCGTTTCTGGACTTGGGTTGGCTCTCTACTTGGTTATCCAGGACGAACATTCCGACAGTCGGATCCTATCGGAAAAATCATCGGAATTTATCGGATCCGATGGGAATTCGCCAGAATTTGTCGGAACGCTTGATATCGAATTCCGACAGGGAGTTGTCGGATATCGGAAAACGTCGGAAGTGGCTAGGATCCTGTCGGAACCCTGGAAATCCAACACCTTCCGATATCCGACAATTTCCTGTCGAAATCCGATACCAAGGATTCTGACGAATTCTAACCCGATCCGATGGGATGAGTTCGACCTGGGTGGGTTATATGCAGAATTAAATTCTGCACCGAATGATGTCCTTTTCGACTGAGGTCATCGGGCAAAAATCTCATTTATCCTGCAAATACTGACTTTTTTGGGAGCTTTTCCAAAAGTATTTCGCGTCCGGATTCGCTCTTCCTCTTTGATTAGCTCTACAAATTGTTGGGTTGAGTTCAGAATTCAATTCTGCGTCGAATGATACTAATTTCGACTAGGGTTGTCGGGCAAAACCTGTAACTGGCGGTGACAGTGCCAGATCAAAATTGCTGGCCGTCGTTCACCCTCACCTGTTGATTTTGCCCGACAACCCTAGTCGAAATTAGTATCATTCGACGCAGAATTGAACTCTGAACTCAACTCAACGATTTGTAGAGCTAACCCAAGTGAGAGAGCGAATCCGGACGCGAAATACTTTTGGAGAAGTTCCCAAAAAAGTCAGCATTTGGAGTATAAATGAGATTTTTGCTCGATGACCCCAGTCGAAAAGGACATCATTCGAGGCAGAATTTAATTCTGCATACAACTCAACCAAGTACAGAGCCAACTCAAGTCCAAAAACGAATCCGGACACTAAAACTCTAACATGGAGCTAACTTTACTTACGTGAGAAAATCTGATAATGCGATTTTTTCCCGCTTACCAAATCTTGAAGAGAGTTCATAATATGTTTTACGATTTATTTTACTTTGCCTGAATAAATTTCAACATCTGCTTCAAAGATCGATAAATAGTTAAAGTAGATTTTAGTACAATTCATGAACGATAATTAACAGGTCGATCATACTAGGTAATTAAAAAGATTCTAGAAAGTGCGTTAAATTATTTCACATGTAAAAATGAATGTAAAATATAACGATCACTAATACATTAAATTTAGTTAAAAATGAAAAACTCAAGAAAATGCGTTAAATTATTTCACATGTGAAAATGAATGTAAAATATAACGATCACTAATACATTAAGTTTAGTTAAAAATGAAAAAATTCAAGAAAATGTGTTAAATTAGTTTACATATGAAAACGAATGTAAAATCTAACAATCTTTAATGCATTAACATTAGTTAAAAGTAAAAAAACTCACGAAAATTCATTAAATTATTTCACATGTGAAAACGAATGTAAAATCTAACGATCTTTAATACATTAAGATTAGTTAAAAATAAAAAAACTCAAGAAAATTCGTTAAATTATTTCAGATATAGAAACGAACGTAAAATCAACGATCTTTAATACATTAAAATTAGTTAAAAATAAAAAACTCAAGAAAATTCGTTAAACTTCTTAACGCGTGAAAACGAATGCAACGTTTAACGATATGTAATGTGTTAGTTACCGTTAAAACGACAGTCACGCGTGAAAAAGCGTGAAAAATCTAACGCGTTTACACGTAATTTTAGGAATATAACGAAAGTTCATGAAATGTTGTTCGTGAAACTTCGTTAATTTGTCTTTTAACGCATTTTTTGGCGTTAATTTTAAGAATCATGTCGTTAAATACCTTTTTATTTTTACATGGGAATGCTGATTAGCGGGTAATTGGTATATCCTTGATTGATTCTTAAATTATAGAAGGTATCAATTATCAATGGGATGTCAAGTATATTTTGATTTTCAATAGATATTTTCATGACAATCAATACCAGTCTGAATCAGTAGTTATTGTATTTTTGGTGAATGAATTAAATGGCTGTTATGGAATATTGAAAATTATATTTTCCATTTAAAATGATTTTGATCGACTTGGAATTTTCCGTTCGAAAAATATCTTGCATTATCTTCGAATTTTCTTTTATAAAATTATCTATTAGCATTCGAATCAATCTTATATTTCATTCTAAACTGTATCGTTAAGGTCTTTTGCTTGTTATCGAATTTTATTGTTCAAACTCTTTATGAGTGTAGTTGTGAGTGTCGCTCGGCTACTCATTCATTCCCTCCACTCATTGCCTATAAGTTTGAAATGCATTGCTGCTATA